ATTCATCTAATTAGCACTGCCCTCTTCTACACTTTACCCAATCCTGTTTTGTATCCTCTTTTTCTCCTGCTGCTCCCCTCCCTCATGATCCTCCCTCAGAGGAACAAAGTCTTTCCATGTAAGCCTGGTTCTTCTGTACTCACTGGTTTCCCTGCAACCTCTATAGGTGAGGTGGGGGATCACCTTGCTCCAATGCTGCTTCCAAACTTTGCTTCCTATCTTCCCATAAAAATCCTTCTTCCACTGAAGTTCATGCCATACTTCTATACATCCATCACACATCCAAGTATCACTTCATCCATGTACTACAATACTGTACTGGCAAATAGCAAGAACTCAATAAGTACTGGTTAAACTGTTGATTCTTTGAATAAATGACTGAATAAAAGTTGTTTTCTTGGTCATGCTTTCAGCATTTGTTTGAGGTTTTGGTATCTGTTTCTTTAAAAATTTTTTCTATATCTTCTTTTCAAATCTTGATTCTTGATGAGGTGTTCATGGAGAACCATAGTTTCAGAAATAGACTGGCTTATATGTGGCACAAAAATTTTACCTTCCTCAAAATCCCTTGATCTTGAGTGACTTATTTCACCCTTCACTCACTTCAATCATATCGACCACATCTAGAACCATTCCCTGTCCTTTTGTGTGACCACAATATTTATGCTTTCACGTCTCTTCTGCCCTGTTTCCAACTCCTTGATACTTTCATTTCTTCCCAGTGGTCTCCTGACTGTGCTTCCCTTCTTATACATCCTAAAGTACTGTCTGAAAATGTACTCAACACCCTCTATCCTTCTTTTCCTTAGTTCTGCCTAATTCATTTGAAAGTAAACCCAACTCGAAACCTACATTACAGTTTATTTATTTTTTTTACCTCACTCCAACTCCTCAGCACAGCTGGAAAAACTACAACCTTGAGGTCTAGTGCCACTGCCCTTTGCTCATCACTGGAGGATCTTCACCAGCTACTCGTCCTAGTCCTTGTCAGCCATATTTACCATGTCTTTTAATCAGTCCCCTCAAAGCCTTTGCCCTACTCTAACTCATTCCCAGCAGATGGCATGGGATTCCCCCATTTTTGGTCTTCTCCACATATAAACTGGTCTGTTTCTGAATCCAGCCTAGTATTTTCTTCATGTATCTGCACCAGTTTTTCATTCCTGTTCTATAGTCAGTCTTCCAATTCTCTTTTATTGCCTCTGGGCCCTTTTTAAAATTATTTTATTTTAAAAAATATTTGTCTGAAGGTTAACTATGTACTGGGCTCTGTTATAGATGTTAGTGCACAGTAGGAAAACCAAAATGGACAAAATCCTCTCTCACTGGGGAATAGAGGAGGGTGGGGCAGGTGTAAAGAAGAAAAAATAAACAAATAGAAAGTTAAAAACAAAAGACGTAATTTCTGTTTTCATAGATCTCATCCATGCCACAGGAGAGGAAAACCAGGTGTGGTGGTCCCACCTACTGAGGATGAGGAGGATGATAAATTAGAGGCCAATCTGGGCAATATAGCCAGATCCTGTCTCAAAATACAAAAGGATGGGGATATAGCTCAGTGGTAGAGCACTTGTCTAGCATGTACCAGGACCTGGGTTTGATCCACAGTATCACAAAAACTTTTAAAATAAAACATTTTTTAAAAAAAGAGGGAAACACTGACTCTTGAAGGAGATACTGTATGTTGAGAAGTAAACCTCTCTACCAGCACCCCCAACTCTAGTGCACTCTTTCAGTCTAAGGACAACTTCCTTGGCTCCTGAATTGCCTTCTTACTGCATTTTTGATGTCTAATTCTTCTCTTCTTTAAAGATCACCCTGTATAAACCATCTCTAAATTCTTACTTTCTTGGTCATCATTTTAGGTAGATGAACTCTAGATAGGGAAGAGGGTTGGGAGGGGAAAGGGAGGGGGCAGGGGCTTACCAAGGATGGTGGAATGTGATAGACATCATTATCCAAAGTAGATGTATGAAGCCACAAATTGGTGGCAACATACTTTATAGACAACCATAGATATGAAAAATTATGCTATATATGTGTAATAAGAATTGTAATGCATTCTACTGTCATTTATTTAAAAAAACAATAAAAATAATTCATATCTAAAACAACAACAAAAAGCTGAAGAATAGATCATGTACTTCTCAGTTGTCCAGAACCTACTGTTCTATCACTTCATTCATTCCACTCTGGAATGTACCCAGTGCCACTTCAGAGTGCCAAATCTGGGTGGACTTTTCCCTGCCTTACTTTACTGCAGTACAAGTACTTGTTGCTCTTTCTCTTCCAGTTCTCCTTAAATACTGATGCTAAAGGCAAAGTTCCACCTTTGTCCATGTTCTCTTTCTCTATGTACCCAATTTACTTAGGATGGCATATAAGTTTTATGATCCTAATGGGATGCCTTTGGGAGTAAAGGAGGATACTTTTAATAATTATTACTCTGGGGTAGCAGATGCAAACCAAGATTACCCCAAACTAGGATATATGGTCACTTTCTTCTTAGGAGATTGATAGCATCTACTATTATAATCTTGACTGACAAGCAGCTGTAATTATTTGAAAACCTCAACCAGTAGCCTTGATAATGACATTGAACATTATTTTCCAAATCTTCAGGCGATGGTTTCTCATAGGCATCTCAAACTCAGCATGGCCAAAACTCAATCATTTATATTCCTAAAACCTGTGGATCCTTGTATTTTCTCCTCAAAGACCCAGCCACTGAAGTCTCTAAAGCAGGGGATTGCTCTAGATTTCCCATTCTCCCTTACCTATCTCCTATCATTTCTGCATTCACTGTTTTTCCCTAAACTACTCATAACTTTTTATCTGACCTTATTCTAATCTGTCTTTTTCAAGTTCACTTTCCATGTTGTTGCAAGAGTGATCTAAAAGTGATCATACTTCTACTTTGAACCTTTTGATAACTCATTTTAGGCTGAAGACTTTTATCATGATTCTTCCTATTTACATCTTCAGTCTCATAATCCACTTACTAACTCCTTTTACTCAAATAACCCCAAATAGCTTGTAGAAACACAAACACAAACACCACACTCACAAAGTAGCTTCTCACTTCCAGTCCCTCATGAATGCTCTTCCTTCAGCCTGAACACAGATCACCTTACTGGATTTGCCAGAATATATACCATTTTCTCTACTCATCCACAGCTGGCCCAGAGGAGGCACAGTGTCTTTCATAAATTTTCATACTACATTCCCTCTCAATTGCAGTATCAGATGTGTCTATTTGAAATTGTTTATGTCATTATTCCCTAATAGCTTGAAAAACTTCAAGACAACAGTAGCCATAAATAAATAAAAAAAATTCATTCTATCTTTAAAAGACAACATCTATTATATGGATTTAGCCACAAAATTAAAATAAGCTTGACTAAATATTCATATGAAAAAGTAATTTCTTTTCTGCACTTTTCCACATGTGCCCATGTTTTATAAAGCAATCAGTAGAAAGATTAAAAATGTATAAGGGCTTCAGCTGCCCCAAATTTGACATGTTTTATGAAATTAAAAAAATACATTTTAGTTCAGGAGACGATTAAATTCAATTTACAAATATATAGGTGTGTGTGTGTGTGTGTGTGTGTGTGTGTAATGTGTCAGAGTCATGAAGAGACCAACTGTTAATTGTCTACGATTACAGAAAATCAGAATACATTTCAGAAGTTGTTTGATGTGGAAAGTTCTGTGAAAATATGATCCAAGTGTGTTTTTTTTTTTTTTGCTGTTCTAACAGTTTTCTCATTCTTTTTGTTTATTATTACTTACAATTTTAAAAACATACAACTTTCAAAGGGAGCTAAATATGCAATACCCCAAAATCAAGTATCCACCACATCTATCCAAACAGCCTCAGCTACTTTCCAGATGTCTTCTATGGTGATTTCCATGTTCTTATATGATTAGCTCCAGCTCCAAAAGAAGGAATTCTCACTTTGTCTGTCAAAACCCAAACTGTTTGACCTTTAAGGCATAGGAAAAAGCTCAATTTTTGGATAAAATATGGTGCTCCTGTCACTTATTTAATTTAAGTAATTTTGAGGGAATTAAAAAAGTATAATCTAAAAATTTTAAAGAATATTAGTGTTACCAGAGGCATAACAAGAACATCTGGCACAACTGGTATTCTATTAAGAAATAAAGAAAGCTATATAGCAAGTTAACAGTCATGATAAATAACAACTCCAAATGGTATATGTTCTTTTGACATAGTGCTGCTTAATCTTAACAATAGTTTTTTACTTCCTAATTCAACAACAGTACTTTGTGCAATCTTTACTAATTTTGGCTTATAAATCTTGTTTGTGAACTGTGATTATTTTTGAAAAGAAAAATAATTTGGATTACTTTGAAATTTAAAACATGCTCTGATATTTTCTTCATGACAAGGATTATCAGAGTATTGAAAGGGGGTAGGCACTGGCGTTCCAGCTATGGTAAGTTGCCTTAGGTAGATCTGAGGTTATGGGAATGCCTCTACCATTAGACACTACACTGGGGAATGAATTTTGATAAAATTTAACTGGGAAGAAGTCAAATACTCTTTTTTTTTTTTAATTGGTAAGGCGATGATACTATACAAACAGCTCTAACTTTCAGATAAACATTGTTGAATACTACTACATGTCAGAAGGTGGAGCTCTACACATATCTGAAATACTGGCTTTTATATATGAATTTCACAAATGTGTGTAACAAGAAGATTAAAGCAGGAGTATCTTGAGAAAAATGGTTCTAAAAAATATTTCAATTCTTTCATGATAAAAATCATCCTCCACATCTCCAAAAACATAATGGCTACTGATAAAAGAAATGCTTACAATTTTCCATAGAATCATTGCTATATCATCTACTATAAAAATTTAGGTATATGTAAATCGAAAAATAAAGTTTAAAATATATTTTAAAGGCAAAAAACCACTTTTGAAAATCAGGGCCCCCTAGTCGAATACAAGCAAAGTCCTAATACTTACAAGCATCTCGAATGTAGAGTAACATGGCTATGAAGATATAGTCCACTAAACTCAGACTGAGGCCATCTGCAAACAAGGCATCCCAGACCACCAGGAGGTCCTGCAGAGGGAACTCTCTGCCAAACAGCAGCCGCACCCACCGTCTGTAGAGAAACAAAACAAAAATTTAGAAAATGGTACTTTTGAGAGGAATTATGAACAAGTTATCATTTTCTCATGTAATTGTGAAAAAATTTGATTTATTAACTGAATACAGTGAGCAAACATTATATGTCAAAGACATTACAGCAAAATTTAAGTTTTGAGCAAACATATATAAAATACAGTAAAATCTAAGTTTTAGGCATTTAAACTAATTTTAAAATTCTATACTAGGCTAAGATGATTAAACTTTTATTTCTCTAAGTGTACATGTTTAGAAAGTGTAGAAATTTTCCATATTTAATAAAAACCACAAATCCTCAAAACGAAAAAAGAAAAAATGAATATGTAGTGGTCTAGTAGTTACCTCATATGTAAAGATCTGAATTAAAAATACAATTTCCCCACATTTCATAATCTTTATAATTTTCTGTTAACCTTTTGCAAGCATTTATATGATAACAAATTACTATAGCCAAACCTATAAAACTGCATTCTCACATGGTATTCTTATTTAAAATATTCATTTAACATTATATGTAGGGGAAAATTAGTACTCTTGTACATATTTTTTTGGTAAAGTGTATATAGTTATTTTAAATAAAAATATAATTATACTTAAATTTTAGCTTTAGAATAGATGTATTTTCTTTCTAGGGAAGCTTTTCAAGTTGATTTCTACGGTCAGGTAAATGAGTATCACAGAATAGACATGAACAGTAATGGTAACTTTGTGTGTAATTGTATTACATAAATAGTGACATTTTATACTTTCAGCAAATTCTAATTAATCAATTTATATCTAATGCTTACAATACAAATAGGAATAATTCAATTTGGTATACTTTTATCCATTTATACTTCAAATTTTATATAATATAACACTTTTCTTAACAAGCCTTTTGCTTAAATACTTCAGTGAGTATTTTGTGATTCTGGCACATAGCAAAGACTTAATTGTTCTAAGTTGCTAGTGCTATCAAGTAATGGAGAATAGAAAAAACTGCTCATAATGTAGCTAGGAAATATTACTACTTTGTAAAATTTGAAACCAAATATAACCATCTGTGAAGTTACAGTGAGGAAAAAGAAAATATTTAAATACTTTTCTCTGGGAGTATTTAAGGAGGAATTAAAGTTGTGGGAAAAAAGTATATAACCACCCCTATTTATCCCAGCGTAATTATTAAAAACTATGACATCAACTACTTAAGTTTTATTAATTATTATCACCAAATTAATCAGAATAATTAGACTGTATTTTTTAACTACATCAATTACTGCATTTTTCAGGGGAAAAAAATGCCCAGGTGACATTTATTTTTTTTAAATGCTTACATCTTCTGTCATTTTCATTTATCTTTAAAATTATATTCCATGCTAAAATGATGAGTGACTAACTTAAAATTTATATGTTTTGTCAAATATGCTTGTGTTTATGTGCCTTAAGAAAAAATTACTTCTCCCACACTTCTAATTCTTTTAAGTTACAAATGCTAATATTTAGTATGCCAAAAAGAAGACAGATACTTCTAAGTTAAATGGGTTGTTCTTCTGAATTACAAAGAAGTCAACCAGAGCAAAGAATATCAGAGGAAATAGATATGGGCAAAGCAAAATAGTATGTGGATTAAACCACTTTGAGTACTCCTGAAAAGGATTTTTAACTGACACATACATAAGTGCATTCTTAAATGACTAAAATATTTAGAATAAAGCTACTCAAAATTATTCAATTGATACAAATAAAAGAAAATTCCAACAAAAATAAAACAAACGAAGGTTGGTACACAGCCACAGTTGAGTGTTGCTATCGCTTCCCAGCCTTCCTTACAGCTCAAATGCCTGTAATTTTCCTATAGGCAATAACATTTTTGGTTTCATCACAGACAGTGCTTCAAGAGCAAAATAAACAAAGTAGCTTATTTTTTAAAAATAATTTTTATACCTATGATTTTTATAACTAAATGCCAGTTATTGTTCAAACTTCTCTTGCAATCTTCCTGCTGGTTAGAGTTATATTAGCTTAGCTTCAAAAAGGAGCCCAGATACAAGCATGCAGCAAATTCCACAGCAGTAGAATTGTCAGGAGGGCAACTGCAAAGGCTGGTAATTTACACTGAATACAACACTTCTGATTTTTATCTGTGTCCAACGGTTTATATGTTTGATATTTTCAAAACTACACAAAATGCAGGTCTTTAGTAATTTTGTGTAATCTGTTATGTGCTGCTTTGTAATTGCTTCACATTGCTTCAAAGTTTTAAGTTGCCACAGGACTAAATAATTCTGGGACAAGAACTAAATCTGCATGAGAGAGGGGGTGGGGAAGGGAGGGAGGGAGGGAAGGAGGAAGAATGGGGGAGGGGAGGGGAAGTGGGAAGAAGAGAAGGGAGGAAAGTGGAAGACAGAGAGAGAGAGAGAAGGAGGGATGGAGGGAAGGAGGGAGGGGAGATAGCAGTAGTAAGAGAAAGGGGGCAGATCTACAAAGCTCTTTGTAAAGAGCTCTATATACTTCACTAAGTGCTCTATCTTTGTTTACCAAGGTCTTGTTAAATACACTGTAAAGCCACCTGTCACATTACTGAGAAGCAAAGGTGTAGCTAAATTGGAAGCATAGGCATTGATCTTCCTAATGGTGGCAAAAAAATAATTCAGGAAGTGGGGGGAAAACCAGAAACACATTAAAAATAACTTATTATTAGATGCCTACTATGTTATTTTATATTAGTATTTGTAATTTGTATATACTAGGATATTTTAAAGTAAAATACTCTTTCCTCTATTTTATATGCTCTTATGCCCAAACTAAGGTCAAATTCTCAAAATATCTAAGAACCACCATATGATTAATAGAATGCTGTGGGACCAACAATGACATCAATAATTTAATCATTTAAATCTCAACTGGATTTAGTTCATATATATATTCACAGCACAAAAAATTTCCTGTGCTATTTTTGGGCTTTACTTCATTGAGCTTAAAAGCCAAGGAAAATTCAGCCTATTATGGAATGAGTTACAAATAGAAATTATTTCAGGAAGCTTTTGTATTCTTAGAAAGGAGAACGTACTCTAAGAAATGAGGTCTTATAAAAAAGTCACTTCTACAATTAACATGCTTTTATTGCAGTTAAAAATATTTAGTGAGAGCTGAACTTACACTTAAGGGTAGCATTAAACCTTTCTTTTTCCCTTAAAGATAGCTACAGTTTAATTGCTTGATACTATTAATCTTGCTTTATGTATGTTACACCTGCAGACTGCAATGTTCATATATTTTATCACTTGTGATAACACAATAATTCCTATTTTACCAGACCTACTTAGTAATTAAAATCTGTACAAACAAAAAAAGATTATCTGAAGTATTACAGTTACTAATAAGCCACTCAAAGACAGGGCAGTTTCTGTTTGTACCTATACTGTTATTCTCTATTTTAAATTTCTGTGTAACTAAGCTGCTATTCTCAGGAATCAGTAACTACTGATAGTGTTATTGTGTGGTGAATGACCCATAGAAACACCATGAGAAGTCCATTTTTAACCATGAGTTTATAAAAACGATCCATTTATGTTTCAATAGCCTTGGTCCAACATGGCTGTAGTGGGTTATATAAGGAGAAAGAAATTTAAATCCTTACCTTTTCTTTTAATGACCCTTTAGTGTCATATTGATATATCTATCTTACAAGAACAAGTAAGGTAGGAAAGCTATATTTGACTTAATTCAACAAACTTCACAAGGGCATGTCAAGTAACCTGTGATCATGAAATGATAGCACTTGGTAAGCATGTTCAAACACAACAGAACAGTGTTATATTTTTGCTCAATTAAATTAATTTTAGGTTTTGCTTTCTGTTCACTTCTTTTCAGAGCTAACGAATTTTAAATAATCAATGCCTGGTATGGAATAAACACAGAATCCAAATGCTGTTATTATCGGGGAAAAAACAAAAGCAAGTCAAAAATGTTTTTGTGAGGTTGAGCACCTACCACCTGGACTAAATTTAGGCTCTTATGTTGGGTTTCTTTGTCTTTCCTGTTTTCAAACTAATTAATCCTGAGTATTCCTTTAAACTAACTCTGTGAGAATAGTCAAAATTAGAATTTAATATTGCATTTATTATAATTAAGGTCACAAAGGCATTCTCAACTTTAATTCTAACTTTAGAGAGCAACTTTACAAAAAGATAGAAGGACAAATAAGTAACTTAGTTCTAATTTTGCACATCTTATTCCTGGAAGGGTACTACTACACAGTACATTCCTGGAAGATGCTTGACTCGCTTAATAAAGTTTTTATCAACTATTTCAAGTAGGTCCTTCTAAAAATATTTGGGATTTGCATGACTTGGAAAGATTTGAATCCTTTAAGCCCATCAAACTCTGCTTAAAACAAAATAGGAAGATCAGAAATGTCAAGTGATTTGTGTTTAAACAATTCAGATATACTTTCTTAATGTTCCTGGTAATTTATGGGTTGAACCCAGCTTGGATTTGGCATTAAGGAAAGACATGTTAAACCTAATTTAACCCCCAAAGCATATGTACTTGTACTTCTAAAAGTATATTTTTGACTTTGAGGAAAATTCTCAGTTCCTTTCAGAGGGCAATACATAGCCCTTTATTAAGGAAGGTTTCTTATTCCAAAAATAAGTTCCTAATAATTATCACCCATTCCTACTGTAATTTATTCTCCTTGGCAAGTGTTTGAAGCTGTTTTGTCAGAACAAATGTAATATGCTCTTTGCAAAAATAGTCTGAATAGAAAGTACAGCCTTGTGTATCTTGTTTTTTTAGAGATACAAAAAGCTCATGAAGATGTTGGATAAAGATGACCATGATATTTTAAGGCTGTATATATAACCCTTGAACGTTTTTATACATGCACCAACCTCTTTTTAGATCTATGTCTGCTATTATAAGTACGACATTTAAAAGACTAATTTACTAGTAAATTCAAATAAAGCTAATGAACGATAACAGATATAGCTATGG